GATGCACGAGCGCCATTGAGGGCGCGACTGGGCCATATCTGACAGTGTCTCTAGCCATTGATGTGGCCCGTCTCGGGGTCCCCATCCCTTCGGGTGGCAGGGCAGCTAGGCACCGGAAGGTGTTACAGCTGAACGATTATTGTCATATTATCATAGTGATTGATTGCTCACGTAGTAAGTTGTTTTAATCCAAATGTCGCCTTTTCATGTCTTCAGTCGCCGGGTTCCCTTTTCGACTATTCACTTGTCGAAAGCTACGCGGCCATCGGGTCACACACATCGTTGATTTAAACTATGCTGAACCTTCGTATGTTGCTTGTTTCACTTCCCACATGTGGCTGGTCCGCCATGTCAGTCTCCTTTTATCAAATATGCTGTGGTTGTTGGTGTCGCATACTGATAGCTAATCGACTGGATCAGATGTTTCCGAATATACGTACATTTGGCTGCTTAGTTCAGTCGAATGGAGTGGCAGAATTAAAAGAAACATGTGCATCTGTCGTCACACAGCCACCAGTACTTTCCAGACCCATTTAATGTCGAAACAATAAACTTGTCAGATGATCCGGTAAGGCTCCGCATACATTTTCGTAAGGGTACAGTGGCAGGAGTGTGATTTATGCAGCACGTAATTAATGTGCTAGAGATCAAAGGGCCAAGGAGCACGGCTTTCGTATCTTTTTGTTTCGTACAAAATTCGGTTAGAAGTCACGAATAGAAAATGTCTGGCGGCCTATGCTAAATGGACAGTTGCAGGCAAACCTACTTTCGTGTGGTAGAAAGACCCTAATATAAAAGTATGTCGTCTGATGCGGCAGGATTGTAGCAGGCTTCCGGATAGCATTCACAACCTTATGTAACTTAAGTCTGCACGCGAACAGGCAGTGTGGATGTAAAGACCAATAGTTGATTATCCAAATGCAGTAGTTTCGGCGAACAGCATAATTGGGACGTGGCTGTCAACGACTGATGTCCCCACAAATCCGACCTTTGGCTCCACTTGGGGACGTAGAACTACCCACTGTGCCACTGCTTACCGGTACAGATCAAGACAAGAGCACATCACACTGATTGGTAGTTCATTTACTTCACTGATTGCACATCAAAATATCTACAACGTAGGCGAACTCAGGAAGCACGGGGGTTGAGGGACTCCCAAGTTGCCCAAGCCTAGACAGGAGTAGTCGAGATGCAGAAGTAAGCTTCAAACCATGAACCTTGCGATCATTAAGTTGGCGATTCGACTACTGAGCTATCTCGCCCGGCGGGGCAATGAGTTATCATCATCACAGACGGTGATACCTTACTGGTGAAAACTGCGGTACAGTCATAGAGAAAAGAACCTTATTAAGGGGTGAAAAGAATGAGGAGGGCTAGAGTTCTACGGCAAAATGTCACAAGATTCTGGAGGAAACATAGAACAGCGAAGTATTTACCTATTCCAAAACGATTAGAATAAATGTATTTGAACGTATTTGCCATCAACGGAATCGATCCGACGTCTTTTGCGAGCCTCATTCAACACAATCCCAGCGCACAACAACGGACAAGCGTTAGACAGACAATCCAGCTAAGAAGTTACAGCAAGCTTGCCACTGCGATCGGGTTTGTGTCACTTCCTTCAGAATTTCCAAGGGGAATCACATGAACATCATTCACAACGCCCAACTTAACCGTGGCCGCTTTTATTTCGCTTTGTCACCGTGGGTCGTCCGCAAACAAGGGGTTAGAGTGGAAATTATGGCATTCTGTGGTCGGTCATGTGTAGTAAATACCCCAACTAACGTGATCTGTTTGCCCTTATCTACCACTCCAACGAACCCGACTAATCACCTAGTACTCGTCCCACGCATCTGACCGATGAGAATTCATCTGTTTGCTTTATTTTTAACAGGGCAAGGTGGCTCAGGTGGTTAGAGCTCGAATCTACCGACCGGAAGGTCCGTGCTTCGAACCGGACCTCTGCCCCTCGAGTTCTCCTGTCTATGCTCGGGCAACCTAGCAGTATCCCATCCCCCGTACCTCCTTCTGGTGGCATGACAGCTAGGCACCGAAAGGGTGTTACAGCTGAACAGCTTTTTTCGGAATATCGCGTAACTCTGATGCTCTTCCCAAACTCTAACAGCCGTATTAGCCCCGGTCCCTTTAATAAACCTGAATAACACTAGTCATACAGGTTATTACAAACCGATACTTATTGTATCCAGACGCAAATAGAAACCACAAAGGAGGAAGATTCGGTGACCAAGGCTTGCCTTCCTTGTAGCGATAAAAAAATGACTAGAGATCATCTGTTAATTAAGCTGGTGTTAGCAGGAGACCCAACATGACTTATGAGTTTTTTTTTTAAAGGACAAAACCGATAGTAGGGTATCTTAGACTTAAGGATAGTGTCATTCCAAGGAAAAGCTAATGAATCCATCGACTGTTTGTTCCCTTTTATCTCGGCTTCGTTTAATTCATTTCATACTGAAACTGAAAGAAATGTCCCAATAAGTCCTACTCCAGGCCACCTGTATTTCTGATTCAATGAAACGGTGTTGTAGAATTGCCTTCTGTGAGGCTTGTAGAGTTTTCTCTCTTTCCTGCCGTTGGCTTATTTACACCATAACCCTTTTCGTTTTGTATTGTGATGTCTCTCATGTTAGCATTCGTATGACGTTTGTCACAGTTGCTCTCCGACATGTTGAATAGCAGCAGGCATTAGGGGAGACGCAACCAGAAAAGTTTGGTCACACGACTTCTTCGTTGCTATTGGAGCGCGGCTGGATCGTCACGTGGCCGTTTGGTCAGCAGTGTCAGTGTTGACTTAAGGATCATGTGCCAACTAAACACGTTAGTGTGGTGGCAGATTTGCTCTATAGGGTTTCCTCCAAAATCCCATGTTCCACCGGGACAATTCGGAACACTTCGGGGGACAGCATTTTGCTGCAGGCAGGTTCGTCAGTTGTAACCCCTACAGACTTGTGTTTATTTTTGCCAGCCGTCCAATTACGGTTGCTGAATTCGCTATGACAAAAGAAACGGCTTGACGCTTGGAAGTGACTAAAATGGTTTTCGCTCTTCATGTCACACGTTCTTGTTGGCAACAGATTATCCGTGGCGCATAGCATGCTTGAATGACTCACGGGTTCAAAACCAGGACATTTAGCTGTCTCCACTTTTTGACACTTATGTTTCGTTCACTCACAAAGACTCATCACCGTGTATTTTGTTTTCACTTTTAGGATTTTCTTGCCGCTGTAATGGGTTGTTTTGCTCGTTACATCGATACTCCGATGAACACGAATGTCCTTTTGACTATCAAGCACAGGGGCGTGTCGAACTCACCAAGGCGAACCCTGAAATACGTTGTGCGAAGTTGCGGAAAATCTAGTTCAACCGTCACTGCATATTAACAAACATTTTCTTGCAGGATGTTAAGCAATCCATTTGTTGTTTTCCGAATTTTACTACACAGCGTATGTCTCGGTTACTTTCGCCTTCCTCATCACAAGTTTATTTGCAGTCGATGAGAACCGCACATGGAGGATAGTCTTTCTTATCTCGAAAGCGCCTTGTCTTTTAAGGTTGCTCTGCTTATCTTGAGACACCTTCCATCTCTGTGTATGATTCACCATCCTTGACAATATCTGTCATTATTATCATTATTTTCCACGTAAACGCCTCAACTGGATTTGCTGCATCCCCTCATCCGGTTTCGACATTTCCCTACTTGCTTGTGGTTCACCTGCAAATATGTCCTTACTAACTCCGGAGTCACGAATCTGTCGCGATTCATCCAACCAATTCAGGGTTTCCCGGCTGTATGTACACAAATTCCACCCACTCTGAGCCGCTCAACCTCGATGTGGTATAATGTCTTTCTCCAACCAGCTCTTTCACAGCACAGACCCGCTCAAGACAGGTCTTCCAATCAACACAGGGCTTGATGGGACAATTCTACCTGAATTCTCGGTCTCACCCCATGCCATCAGTCAGAACATTTTTCTTGGATCTTCACTTCCTTTTCCTTCGACGCACACACGTATTCCGTCACGACGACTTGGGTACATCTAGTTGAGGCCCGCGCTCTCTCTTTGCATGCCTTCTGTGGTAATATTGTTATTATCCACGTTACTACAATAACATTAGCGTTATTTGCTTATCTGCCGACCTGACAATTCATTTGCGCGATCTCTCTCATCCGGATTGATAGTTGCTTACCTGCATTTTGTAGCAGCCATGGTGCCTATTCCGCATTCATGGTCATTTGACGGACTTCCACGGACTATAACATGGCGGGAGTGATCATTAATTTTTTCCATGTTGTGTGGGTGTGAATACTATTCTCGTGTAAGCGGCCTTCGTTGCTGCCTATACTATATTATCCTATTCTCAATGTGTCTTGGTGGGTCTGCGTCGGTTCATCGGAAGGCGCTAGACGATATAGTTTGCTTTTGGAGAAGGGAGTTAGGATTTGGTGAAGAAGCTCAGAATTTACATTTTAGTCCCACCAACAAAGCGTGTAAAGTAAGTGTACTGTGATGTAATCTGTGGTCCCACCTTGCTCACTTCTTCAGCGGGGTAAGACTATCTATTCTGTGTTCTAGATAGCTTCCTTTGCGTCGGGATATCCAACCATACGCACGTTGAGTGAGGTGAAAGCCCTCTGTTTTGATACCACCAAAATTTCGAACCAACACGGCTTCGAGTCACGTATTCTATAAGGCATACTTAGGACGAAAACGATTTATTGGCCCTGTGCATAACAAATGGTTGGTTCCTCCCTAAGTATAAAGGTTATGTGCCCCGCTTGACTACGTTTGAAAGTCAGTCTCATCCTATGGGATTGTCGGTTTCATCATTGAACCTCGGGTACTTTGCTGATTCCTTCTCTGCTGTGAGCCATCATCCACCGTTAATTTGTTGTTGCTGTGTGCTCGTGGCTAGCAGGGGGATTTTATACCGTCGATTCATTCGAAAGTACTTTTGCGGTACCACCCGAATTCTACTCTATGGTTCCTTGTGGCAGCAACGTGATTTCGGAATTTCACCCGATCTCTACGCTTTACATGCCATTAAAATATTCCGTCTAACAGATGGGTGGCGAAGCGGTGTGCTGTGGGCGAAAGGTTCAGCAGGTGGCAATTGGTCGCCTGTAGCGAGCAGGAAGTCACTATTCCAATTCCTTGTTTGTAGGATGGCGAGAAAAATGAATAATAGAGAAAACAGCTTGGAACATGGAAGCCAATGGTGGGCTTGTCCGGTATGTTTATATTTATACGAGCTATTTTTCGGGAGATCAATGAATACGTTTCAAGAGGTAGAGAGTCAGGTTTTGCACGGATTTATCGTTTTTCTCTGCCACTGAGTCCTTTTCTACATGACGATTGATCGTTGACCTATGGTATTTGCAGTATCCAGTGAGGCACTGTCGTCATCCACACAGCTTCAAAGGTGACACTACCTTCTTTTCGACGGCAGTGATTCGTTGCGAGAAAGCACTCGCGGCCGGTTGCTTCGATATGGTGAAACTGGACCTTTACCGCGTTGTGACGGTTTGTCCACCGCGATTCATTGGGTTATACTGGGGTTAGGTCCGAACGACACGTAGTCTCATACCTGGTTGGTCAATGGATGGAGGCCTGACGAACAGTCTCCAGGTTGGGGGATTGAACATGCGTAGCGACTCGTTCTTTGAAAGAGAGTGTGTATTGGCATTCTCCGCCAAACGGCGCTGCCTCGCGGTCAGCCTTTTGAGCCAAAGCCTTTGGTAGATGACCCTAATCGTCCTCCTGTCTAGGTCCGGGCGCCGTGGCAGTATCTCAGCCCACGTACAATCACGGATTGGTTCACCAGCGACGCATCAGCGTTGAACACTAATGTTCGCCTGTCAACGATGATATCAAGAGGTGTGTTAGCAGCACTATAACTCGGATATATCGAAGCAAGTAGATTCTGTGAAAACCCTCGGATCAAATGGACAGACAGCATCCCTTAAGGAGCGATGGCCACTGAAATTGAATGGCATCTGATTCAAAATCAGCTCTTCTGATTGGCCAACTATGCCAGACCAGATTGATAGTTTACCCCGAAGATTAATGTAAAATATACCATAGCTGCACGCCAGCGAAGTATCAGTATTAAACGCTGACGTTATTATCTGTCTTTGTGAATGGATTTCCTGGTTTGTAAGGGCTGAAGTATAGTTCAGGGACTGGAAAGCCCCTGTGGTGTCATGAAAATACAACACTTGAATTTAATGGAGTGGCAGAATAAGGAGAGACCGAACACTTGTGTATGGACGCAACGGTTTTGGATAGCTGGAGCTGTATGTCTCATGAACACTCGGCTCGTCTTATTCAACGAATTCCTGTTGAATGCTAGACAAGGTCTGTAATTAAGGCGTCCCGAGTAGAATTTTTGGTGTGTTCCGAATCCGGGACTGCCTTGAGGTCAGCCTTCTGGCATAGATTCCAGTTTTTGCCTGGACGAATCAACATCTTGCCCAAGCTTTTGTTTTGAAGCCGCCATCAGATGTCGAGTCTATACCCCATTCTTGGATCAAACTTGGATTTTTTGTTTGAAGGCTAACGGCAGAATCACATTCGGTTCACTCAGCTATGTAGTTTTAGACAATGATTGATGAAGTGAACAAGCTGTTTCAGCTTGTCGGGTTTCGTTTTGACAGCATTCAGACTCCTCGAGGTGGTCCGGTAGTTAAGGTACGGACGTACTGACCTGAAGGTCCATGGTTCGAGCCCAATCTCGGCATTTCGATTGCTTCTGCCTAGGTTTGGCTAACTCCGCAATCGTTCGGCCCTTGTGTTTCATTCGGGTGCGTAGCAGCTATGTACCGAAGGGATGTAATAACCGGACGATTATTTCATGTATTTATTACAACATTTGGGTATATACTGAATGTACGGAGCCAGTCGATACCACTGGATTCACCTGTTGCGTTTGGAGCGGCGCTTTGAGTAGAAGAATACCATCCATTAAAGTTATCAAATGAATGAATCATCCAGTGTTTAAAACAGGTCTAACAGAAGTACATGTGCTAAATAGGTGGAGTAAAAACCAATGAGTGTAAAGGAATACGAGTGTAAAAATTAACACAATACTGTCATGATTTCAGTCCACTGTCCCATGCACTGTGAACGTAGTTTTTGGCAGAACGTCTGGTCATATGAAATGTTCATACAATGACGGCGACTGCATATCGTTGGTAATTCCCATTAGCTAGCTGGATGTGAATTGGGCTTTGTGAGGCCTTGGTTCATATTTTCGCACTCTGTACGCAGTGATGATAAGCAGATTTCACACTCAGTTGGCTGAACACACCTATTCTGGGACAGTCACGAGGGAACTGCCGTAATCCTCCGGAGGGGACTATGGTGATCTCCATCGGTAACTTTTGTTCAGCTCTTTCTCCCTCCGAGCGACGCCTGAGAACCCTTTTGATAGTATTCTTTCCTCGGATAAAATTTCTGTTTATCATCGTGGGTGGTGTTGTACAGTAGGACTGAAAAAAAAAAACAGCGAAAACAAGAAAGGGGCAAGTTAATCTGCCCTGCTAACTAAGATGCGAGCTACTGCGCTTGTCCGTGTCCATCCACAGTGACAGCGTTTTCAAAGACCGTGCTTACTTAACGGTTCACATTCCTGATTTGAAAGTCCTTGTGGCCGTTCAACGTATCTTCTACCCGTATTTGAAGAATATAAGCACTAGGCTGCAACGGTTTACGTTAGAACGACGGTCAGTAATCAGGAGGATGAGTCTGTCAGATTTGAAACTGGCGTAAGTGAGAAGGATTGGGACAGTTTACAATAACAGTCAAACGAGTATAGTGCTTAAGTGTCGTTCGTGTTCTAAGAAACATAGATACTGAGATCGTACAGTACAACACATTCGGTTACACGATTTAGCTCCGCAACTTGACTTCCTCAATTTCCCTTGGACTGCGTAAGTCGTTCAAAGCAAGCGCAGCTTCACTATCCAATCTGGTTGCTGGAGATATTAATAAAACAGTGGTCACACTGGAGAGTCCGTTAGTGTGGGTGACAATGCACACGTGCCCAAACTTTTGGGGTATGCATGTGATCAAATGTTCACGTGAATGCCAGTTGAGCTGAAGTGTACAAACGACTGAAATCAAGGTATTGGTCGTGACACGCTTGATACCACAATTACAAATACGGAAGTGTACGTGTTACCTCCTATTTCGTTGTGCTATTGCTTGTAAGTCATTTTTGTTGTGTTGGGCTTAGATATTATCCCACTTTTCTGTCGCCTCAAGAACATGATGCGATATGGGGTTCCCTTTCTTTATAGTAATGTGCTCCGCTGACCCACTTACCCATGCGTGCTGGTGCCCCGTCTGCTTGACCCGCCCCGACTCGTTCTATCGTGATACCCGTGTAATGGCACCACCACTCAGAAGCGCGAGACTGGCGTTGGTAGGAACGACCACAACCCACACTCCGCTCGTTGTATAGTTCGAGGAACTTGACGGTGCGTCGTGCCGGTCATTAACAGGCCTGCACAAATGTTGACGCCACGAATTTGAACAACTGAGATTTATGCAGTTTTGCGTACTTTTGTGTAACTGGTACTGCAGACTTTTGAACCCGATTCTCCCATTTCATATTCGGGATTGTCGACCCTACGCGTGACTCAAAGTGCCGTATCGGGAACCTCAGCACAACGTAGCTACGCAAGTTTTCACAGACTGCTTTACAGGCGTTCGTGTTTTCGTGAGCTTCTGAATTACGCTGGGCCCGATAGGGGTAGCCGAGAGGTTTTCAAAATCAAAAGTTAACGGGATCGTAACCAGGGTTAATGTGATTCATAACAAAGTCACTTGTCTCTGACACCAATGGATAGCTACTCAGTTGACCTGATTCCGTGTTTCTCCCTATTAATAGGTGTTCATTTCAACTGAGCAGCCAGCATCAATTTAAATTTAGATAAAGTCCATGGATAACGTATTTATACTACGGTACAGTGTGGCTTACTGGCCTATTTTGAGAAAAAGGCGACGTCAAATAGAGCACAAGAAATGGCAACTTAAATTAGTGTATTATTGGGAGTGATGGTTAGGTAGATGACAATGTGGTGTAATGGTACCTAGCCGGATTTCGCGTACTAACCCCTCCCACCTGTGTACTGATTGATAAGACACACTCTGTAACCGCACGCTAAAAGATTTTAGAACATTCACACAGTTTCCTATACGAATGAGATGGAATAGATCGTGCAATTACTGTCTTTTTTGCATCGTCTTCCACTGCTATCCTTGGCCGTATGAGGGCTGCCATGGCACTTACAGGCCAATCTTTCTACATGATATACGGCGTCAGTTCCAGCCTCATCACCATTCTACGATTGACACCAGTTTTTAAAATGGCTATCGTATGGTCTGCATTTCTGGTTTCCGTTTGCAGGGTTTTGGTTTTACTGTGGCAAGCTGCTCATCCAAATTTGATAACGCTCCATCACCGGTATTTTGTCTACTAGAGTTGATTCAAGTAGTGTGAAATTTTTGCGCGTTCTCCCAGGCGTCTGCGGTTGGTGAATTCGTTTTGGAGAAAATCGAATAAATGATTTGGAGCCCAATTGCAAAATGAAAAATTCTTTTTCAAACGTTTTTCAGTACAATGACCGACAAGTTAATAATCACAATGTGCTTCGTAAGCTGGAAAAGGTCAGCACACCCGCTGTAAAGATTATTGTAGCCTACAGGTTGAGCGTAGCTGCTCTACTCGCTGTGAGTTGACTAGTCTTTTTTTAACATAATGAGCAGAGCCAGAAAGTTCAGTTTTCTTAGCAGTTTCTTTACTACACCCCAGTTCTCCGTCATAAGAGTGACAACAGTGGGCGATCTTCACCGTCTGCTCCAAATAAACCTAGCGCAGAGTTGCTTTGCATTCATGTTGTTCCTTGCATTCATTTCGGTTCGCTTGGTAGCAGACCCGAGGTTCTTTCGTCTCTGAATAAGCAGTATACAAGCGCCCTTTGTAACAATGAATAATGCGCCCTTAATTATGTTCATTTATTGGAGAATATAAATCTCCTGTCTACTCTCTTCGCAATCGCTCACATTATAACTCAAATAAATAAATTACAGCTTATCATGATTACAGATCCTTTAGTTACCGGTCCGTAATCCTTTGTTGTACGTCGGTCAGAGGATTTTGGTTTCCATTTGGTAACTCAACAACACCTCAGGATGCACTGTGCACTAAACATGCTTTGCAAGGAGTCTCTGAAACAGATTTGGACAACTTTCCGCGAGGATCTCTGGTGGTCCTGATCCACTCCAAGGGTTTGTGATCGGTTTCGACATGAAACCTTTCCCCAAGCAGATGTGGCCTCCACTTATCCAGGGCCAAGACGATCGCTAAACATTCCTTCTCAATGATGGAGTACTTCTGTTCAGCGTTAGTCAGGACGCGACTGGCCTATTCGATGACCCCATTCCTCTGCTTTAGGCCTGTGCCGATACCGCGATCACTGGCGTCCGCTGCAAAAGTGAACAGCTCTCCGACCCTGGGCAGTTTGAGGGTCATTTGCTGATCCAACATCTGCGCTTTGACACGCTCAAAAGCTTCATGTGCTTCTCCGATCCATTCAAATTTCCGATTTTGCCCGAGCAAGTCGTACAGTGGCGCAGCGATCGTGTTGAAATCCTTAACGAACTGGCTGTAGTATGCTGTTCGTCTAAGAAACTGCCGTAGAGACCACTGTGAATTGGGGACAGCACAGTCCTTGATCTTCGCCAATTTTTCGGTTAGTGGACTAACTTCTCCCTGACTCACTTTATGCCCCAGCAGTGCACCGAACTCCGAGTGAGCTGTGTTTTGGCTTCAATTATCCGCAGGCCAGCCTCCCGGATCTGCTTCAAGACAGCTTTCAAGTGAACTGCGTGCTCTGGTTCCGAATAGCTGTACACAACGATATCGTCTCCGTACACGGCAGCATTCTGGAGTCCCTTCGTTAAATGAAGCATCAAGCGCCGGAATATGGATGGTGCCCCGGACAAACCAAACTGCATTCATCCTAATTGATACTGGGTGTCTCCAACCGTAAACGCCGTTTTCTCCCGCTCTTGATAGGTATTTGCCAAAATCCGGAAAGCAAGTCGAACACAGTGAAGTATCGGGAGTGCTGGAGGGAATAGAAAATCTCCGCAACCGAAGGCACAGCTACAACCCGATTCACGGTCAGTTCATTCAGACACCGGAAATCCACGCAAAACCTGTATTTTCCAGTATTTTGCCTTTCTTACAAGCACAACTGGGGAATAGTACGCACTATTGGCTTCTTCGATTATGCCATTCTTCAACATCTCCTGAATCTGTTTATGGACCTCCTTCCGTAGACGGAGCGGCAACGGACGGGACCATAAAGTCGAAAGCGTTCTGATGACAGAGGAATTTCGCGTTCAATCCACGGGTGGAAGCCAAACGGATCCTCATCGCCCGTGAACAGTTCGGAATATTCCTCGACCACGGACCGTATTGACAGTACATTACAAGACGGAGGTTGAATTTATGTAATTGAGAAACTGAGTGGATTAGGTTTTGAGCCCAGCCCACGGTTAAGCAGCACGGGGGATTTTCATGCATTGTAGCCCACCACTCATGGTGGGTTTCACATATCTGGATAACTATCAGCGCAGCTCTACAAATTATACAAGGAGTCGGTTGTCGGCTTGGATAGGCCTAATCCATGTAGGGGCTCGTCCCAAATGCTCTGTTCCTCAATCGTCGAATACGTGCAGATATTAGCTACTGTCCCTTCCCAATTGAGCAGAGCATTGATAAAATTCGCCGGACCTATTTTATTTCGCGATGCTGCCTAAAGTGTATTCATTTAGACAATTTTCAATTGAAATTTTAGGATACCGTTAAAAGGATTTCGATGGATATTTCTGCTCCACACAGAGCCTCTGTATGATCCGGTAAATGCCTGTTCTTTCAGAACCTCATTTGTCACATTTATTTCTTTGACCATTCGGTGTCAGTTACACTCGATATACTCTACTCCTTTCGTTACTCTTGAATTTTGTGGAAATAATCTGATAGCAAGAGGAAAATTATGAATTTCCAAGCTTTTGAAGCTTACCACTTTAACGAGGTATTTGGAGTAAATCTACGAGAAACTGTCTGAAATGCTATGGCAAGCAATAGTCCACGCGTTCGGCTGTTTTTTCGTGCAGTAGTCCTAGCCTTTTCGTAAATATTTTTATGGACAGGTGACGTCATGGAGGCCAAAAACCTTGCAAAATTGAGACATATGGGACAAACGGGTTGTTCGGGACGGTGAAGTACATAGGGTCCTCCGACGTACGGACTAATATACCCATCTGTCATTGTCTGAACTAATATTGGTTCAATGTGCTAATCTCCTCTGTTTGCCGCTTGTTTGACATGCCTCGATTCACGGCTTTAATACCTGGTTCTCACTTGTTGCTTCTAATTAGCGCTTGACTAGACCAGAATCATGTACCGTTACTTACAAACTCTGACAGTTTTTCAAACGGATTACAGTGGCTGAGAGGTCACCGCAGGGCTAACGTCCGAAGAAATGGTCACGTGCACCGTCGTGCAAATCTGGACTTCTCTGTCATGCTACTCAGCTTCCGAAACTTGTGTTAAAGCCTGTAACAGTAAAGTCACAGGGTCGAATTTCTCGCTCCAGTCAAGGAAATGTGCAAATCATGAGAACGGCAAATCTGACGACCAGCGAACAATTCTATTCGACCACGAGGGGATGATACGCTCGGCGACCAGCTGACATTTGGCAATGTATACTGCTTTCATCCTTTAATCATTCGGTTCACGCCTCGTGAGTAGGTATTGAGTGATTTCTCGAGTGACCGCTTCTCAGGTAGTAGTTAAATGCGAATAGTGGATTGCTTCCACAATTCTAGTGACACATTCTTTCTACGTACAAACAATTCACATTGTTGATTGTGTACGTCGTGGCTGTATGAGACAGATCTTACCCCCTGAGGCTCCGTGAGACATGCAGTGTCTATGATTATAATTAAGGGTAAAACAGCCGCACGGTACATCTCGGCTTTCCATCATAGAGTGACTCCATTAGGAAGCTTAAATACCCAGTAGAACTTCAAAAATCTCCTCACCAACTTCGGACCGCAATTTGGATTCACTCGTACAGAATTGTGGATTAACCAACCTACTCAGGAGTAGACAACTGTTCCGCTCATTCTACCCTCCATCCATATTTCATTCGTCAACAACCAGTTTGCATGTAGGATGGCAGCGCATGCTTGCTACGTTCGGTGTACAGGTATATACTTACTCATCTACGCGGCTTACAATATTTGTTTTCATTCAAGTTAACTATCCTTCGTTGGTATGCTATCTTACTGAGGGTAGAGCTACGTATTCATTTTGCGTGTACCTACTTCATTTAGGCGATGACGGAACTGCACTAGTTGTTTTTTCTATTTTCAGTGATTCCTCAAATAAATATTTCAAAGTCCATTTCATGCGTCCATCGTTATCCATTATGGATCATTTGCGAGTCACCAGACGGTTGTTTTAGATGATTCCCATTCAGACTTTGCGTGAACATCATAGTCGATCTTCAAAAAACTTTCTACGAATTGCAGCATTCCGGATGTGTACCGATACCTCGAGTACAAAACAAAATGGAATCAGTTTCGGTTTACTTGTAGCTTTCTGGGGCCGAAATGTACTTTTTAAACTGGCCAGTTGTCTCTCAACTAAATTCTCTTGGTCATCCATGTTTCACACATGGTCAGTAAACCACAAAAAGACGCCACTTTATTTGTCGTTTTCAAAAAAAACGTAGAAGACGGTCGCAGATGGATTTTCCGACTGTCCTTTTGCCGGAACAAATTCCAAAGGTTCGGTATCCTGATGACTTTCCTACTCTTGGAAACGAAAGGCTACTTTCGACTTCCTTCTGAGAATCGAACGTCAAAAGTGGATGAAGCCAATTAGAATTGTCGGTAATAGCACTAGCTACAGCGTCCCAGCCTCTCATGAATTTTCATGGGAACACATTCAGTCAAGAAGACCATTGGTCTCAAAGAGTTGAAGTACACAAGCACTAAGACCGCATGTCTTCTGAAACTCGAATTCGCCCAAAAACTCTGCTTTTGTTGCCAGTCGTCCTGGGACCTCCTGAAGTGCTGCTGTTCAACAGACTTTTCTGCCCGAACCTCAGCCATCCACCGCCGCCTTGGTTCTAAACCTTTGATACATAATCCGTCCTAGATGGACCAAGTTAACATTTTTTTACGAAAAATCTCGTTTATCGAACAAAGCGACAAGAATAAAATACGACATCTGTTTTTGGAAGCGAAATGGGATGCATGTCTCGGCTACTGAAAAAAAACAGACATAAGCAAATTCGGGCACTGGTATTCGGTATCCATGAGAGCAAATTTTAACTCCAAATGTGAGCCTGTCAAGTCCAGATTCAAAATAACGCACCAAGATATGTGGTGTTCAAAAGTACACAAATTGTTAGCAAATATAAAGACAAGCAGTGTCTCACGCTCCGATTGTTGCACAAGTCTTTGTAGCAACATCGCACATTGTTGGTCATACCCGGCTTGGCTATCCTATTAGCATTGACAGTTGGACAACTGTGCATGCAGGCTCGCCCTTCGACCTCGTATCCCGAATATTTAGATTTCGCAGTCTGTAAAACATGAAACGTAGGCCAAGGTTTAGACAAAATCGTTTAAGACGAATACATAATCCTGCGTATGTCATTAGACACAGAGGTAACGAGAAAATGTTTCGAATACAGTGGGCCAGTGCAATCATAAATTCATAGAACGGAATTCCATTGGACACTAGGGGGATTCGTTTGGTTCAGCTACCAGGTGGCTGCGTTGGTGGGAGTTTTGAAGGATTCAGAGTGATTTTGGTTAGACTGTTGGAAGTGAGGTGGTGGTTTAGTTCAGAGAAATTTAAGTGCTTTAGTATGTTCCTTTGTAAAGAGGATGATGCAGTTTGATAGCGACAGAAACGTTTTACGATTGACTAAACGTTTGAGTAACTTTGCGTTTGGCAGGGTTTAATGAGGAGAATAAAGATGGCGAAACGGTACCAAACTCTACCGTCAAATTTAATCGTGAGTACTGCGTAGGTGTGTGCATGAAGGATACGGGCTCCTGGTCAATACATACGTGAGTGCCCTCTCGGAAACTCCTATTTGGTGACGGACTGATTGCTGAAAAAAAGAGAGAAGTGATCAAGCAGCGGTTCTTTGAATTTCAATCGTGCCTCCAGCCCAGACAAAATGGGCTGGAGATTGTTGGGTGTCCGAAATGACTCATAAAAGAGAAGCGTCATTNGAAATGACTCATAAAAGAGTAAGCGTCATTGAGTTCACTATCCACGAGATCAGCAGGAACCATTCTCAAAGGTTCACTGCGTCGCGAAAGTTGCTTCAGTAACCCTATTTTAACGCAGTAGCTCATCAACAGGGCGGCCATACGTATACCATGGCGGGGACTAGGATTCCCAATGTCGTGTTTAGCTTTTGGGACGCAGGTAAGCGTGTGAATGGTTCCAAGTGAGTAAAAAGCCGACTGTTCAGCTTGGAAACAGTAGAGTTTTCCAGGAAGGATTACTCTCAAACACTCCTGCGTACTGGTTTCATAATGACCATATCACCCACAGTAAGAGATGGAAGGTTAGAGGGAATGTCCGCGTATATCTTCGTGAAGTCATTGCAAATGATACGTCGTCATAGTTAAGGGCGACTCCATGAACCTATTCAGCTACAGTTGTTAGTTTAAATATGCATCTGGGTTGTGGCTACTAGAGACAACCGCATCAATGCTGGCGTGGTTGCACCAGATGATGTAATCAGAAATGGATACGCGACTAATCTAGCTAGAAAACAGAATAAGAGATAGTGCAGCCCCATAGAAAACACTAGTGTCATCAAGGAGTGGAGTCGATCATTGGCATACTTGATGCAGTGGTCTTTGTTTAGTCCAAACAATTATCTTCTCCAAGCAGCTACAACAATGCACCTTGGTTGTATTTGGATGATCCAAGAACTACTGCCGCAGTCTTGTTCCTTGTTTCACATAAGAGAGCGACAGCGTAGATGGAATCAGAGTAATAACTTGCAGCGCCACTTTCAGTAAGCAACTTGGCGTGGATATTCAATAAACAAACTGGTTTACATGCCTTTGAGAATATATTCGAGACAGCAGTCGCAGTGCAGTCGCTACCCGCACTGCCTATTGCCCGGATGAGTAGAAGGATGTATATTTCCACCCTTTCTAAATCCAAATTTAGGTCATCATTAGGAATGATTACTTCCTGTGATATGAATGGATAATCAAATTGGAAGAATAAGCAACACGAACGTAGCAATGCGCAAAATAAGGCTAATCTCCAAGTAAGCTAAGTTGACTTTATTCTTCTAAACGTGCCACTGGCGGAGTTGCGCAATGACCTTGACTGACAGTTCTGGCACGTGATTTGGAGTTATGCGTGCCAGAACATGTGCTGTTCGGACCGAGTGGGTGAGAATACAAGGATTACGTTACGTAAATGAGACCGTTGAGAGTGAAACCGGAGACCAGTCATCTAGAGTAACTTGAAAGCTTGAGAGACAAAGGGTGTTCGATCAGCCTGAGGGAAAGCAAATCAGGGTTTTGATACCCTACCACGTTTGCAAGCTTGCATGTAGCAAGCGACGCTTAAGATATTTTCGCCTAACAATCTATTTGTTCAGCGTGATAGTTATATTGTGACTGTTTTTTAGCTTTGTTGTCCAAGGAACCACGTGGAGTAGGAATCGAACTTTGACTTGGGCTGTCAACACTCAGTAGTGTTTTAAACAATACATGAGTCTGGTGCTAAAATGTTTTTAGAATCATGTACAGACTGACTGAAAACTGTCCACTGAAATACATTAACACCAGCTTTTAGTTAAGAGTTACGATCCTTTATCGCTGGTTTGAGCTCGAGATGGCTCTGTGGTAAAGCACGAATTCACTGGTTGGAACGTCCGTGGTTCGAGCCCGATCCAAGCATCTATACTGTTCGTGTCGAGCCTTGAACAACCTGAAAGCCCTTGTGCTTCTTTGGGTGACATGGCTGTTAGGCATCGAAGGTGGGTTACAGGTGAATAACCGATCGCTGGTTTTTATGCATGATAATCGAAGTTGATATCAGTTCATTTCGGCCAAAGTACAGGCAGTAACCCGAGAAAAAAGCTAGAGAGGGGAGTGAGATTGAGCACTGCGGAAACCTTATTAAACAAATTTGACGATATGTGTTCAATACAGTGATCAGTACGGTCAACAGAAATCTGGAACTTTTACACAAGCGGCAATAAAACAACCCCAACGAGGTATTGATACAAGAAAAGTGGGGATCAAGACCGGCAGATGAGGCACAAAACCCCCCTAACCACCGGTCAGAAGCTCAAACGGATTACCACAACATATCCAGTGGATCAAGAATGCTCTATCAAAAGACTAATCGGTTTTATGGTAAGAATTCTGGCTACTTTGGAGTGGCCGCTTTGTCTCACTGTCATTAACTGACAAAATGATAAGGAACGTCGAATTCGTGTAAAGGAAACTGGTACCGCAGCGATAAAAATATATAACGGACGGGCACGTAGTTCAGGGGTGGCAGTTGAACTGTACATAAGTGAAGCTCACTTTCTATTTGTTTTCATTGCTTACAGATGACGTCTTCTAAAAACCGAGCAACGTGATACTCAACCAAGAATCATGAAAGTTTGTTGGACCGAATTATAATAAATCGCAGTTTGAAACGCATAACCCGTACTTATAAACAGAATAAGGTGACCTGATGAGCTCAGACGGAATCTGAATGCAGTTCAAAGAGAAGCAGACGGAAGGAGAATGATATACTTGCAAAAATACAACACTAGCCCTTAGCGCGTTGCATGCAATGAAGCTGCTGGCGACCAGTTAGACCCCGAGGACAGAGAAGGTACTGTCAGATTCCAGAAAATCGCAATACAGCAATGACGGTTGACGTGATATCAACGAAGCAAGCGCCTGATTAATCCCAACCAGATATTCGATGTCGTGTATGATCTCCCTACTGTGTTAACCCATGTGTGCATAATAGCAAAAAAAGCTTTTAGGGTCAAAATACAACGTATTTGAATGAAATGTTACGACCCGACGTCTGGGCAAAATTTTCCAAGAATTTCAAAAATTACTTCTCTAGTCAATTTGTCAGTAGTTTGTTTCCCGTTTCCATCAAACTGTGCCCAGTTAACGAGGTGGTTTTCAATTCTACTGGAATTCAGCCTTGAACAATCCGATTATTTTTGTGTGTTATGTATACAGCCAAATTCGTAACCCGGGGTTATGCCTTGTAGACTGTGTAATCTGTATCATAAAACCCTCATCTTTTTCAAAATTGCAAACTGGTCGTTGAACAAAGTCTCATTCGTTTTGGTCTACCTCATACATGCCTGATTTTCAAGGCCATCAGTAACACTCATGATAGAATCACTTCCACTGACTGTTGATCGTTTCGAATTCAGGTCATCTGCTTCGCCGAATGAAGTGAGGTACGCTAGACGGTTCAGTTTACGCACCGATCTGACTTAGTGTTCACACGACCAGGTTTGCAGCGTTGGCATAACGCGGGTAAATTCTCACAAGCAGCACCTCGACTGGTTTCACGTACCGACTGGAGTGACTGCCAATCTAAATCAGGCAAAATTGATGCTGACGACGGTCGATACGACAAGATATCATGCCCTGTCACAGTTTGTTTTCCAGATAGCGCACGTAAAAAGGCTATGTAATTTGGAACCTGGTTTTCTATGGGTCATCAGTGAAAGCCGAACCAAGGGGCTGCAAGGCATTAGACGCGAAAGTAAACATCTCATCTTTACAGAGGTCTTAACAAGTGAACATTCTCTTGAACGTTCTCTTGAACTCTCCCGAATGTTCATTGAATAATAAACAGTGATAAACGAACACTCCAAAGCGGCTGTATAAGTTTCGCAGTACTTTCCATCGGATGTGGAGGCCGAGCTTGAACATCAGATCATAGGTATGCTTCGTTAGTAGTACACACTATCACACCACTGTATGCTCGATTAGGAAACCAACCCTCGTTCAACTATGATTTATCACTACTATTTTGGCATGGGATGCCCTGTTTTTCTATTGCTCTGTGTTTTGGAAATTATGGAGTCAACTTCCTATGAAGTAATTTATTTTTCAGCAACCACATCCACCCCGTTGGGGTTAGCCAGTTGGTGAGTTGAGTTTTCACACACAATCTCGTGGCAATGTTCTCAGAAATGTCTCATCAGACAATATTTAATGGTGTTTTGTTCTGAGCTAATATACAGGTTCATTACCAGAAAAGGCTGAACAATGCACCACGCACATTTTAGGTGCCGTTGCTTCACAAGATGACCCAGCTTCCAGTAACTATGACATCAATTTGTAAAAATCTGGCTGTTCGCACGTACCTGTCTCGCACACTGTCTCCCAAGGATTCAAATGAGAAAAGATTTACAGAAACCAAATTTCGAGTTTGCGGTGCTCACCAGAACATGGCCACGTCGTTGTCATTTCCTGACTTTGTGCTTACATAAACAACAAAGCCGTGTGCGCCCTGACTCAATCTCACTGAGACGACACGCTCGGAGCCACATAGACACCT